AAGCTCATCTGATGGAATGAAATGGGCCTGAGACTGAGGTGGGGAAGGGAGGCCTGGGGGTGTAGTCTACCCCTAAACCCTACGACTTTGTGTGGGGGTGGAAAAATTAAGCTTGGAGCCAGTGCCAAAACCCTGGCGAGGAGTGCTAGTTTAACTACATTGTCTCTAAGTGTGTGTTTAGAAGGAAACAGGGGTGTCTCTTAGAAGAAAGTAAAGGGGGGCTCGGGGCCCAAACTGAGGACAGCCCCCTGGAAAGGAAAAGTGAAGAAAACTGTCCTCACTTGGAACTGAGTCTCCAAGAAGAGAAGAAAACAAAGATGTGGAGGCTCCTGTTCAAGCAGCTATGGCAAAGGCTAGGTATCCTGAAGGGGAACTATGACTCTGGATTAAAAATGGCCAATAATGTCCCCTCCCTGGCATCCAGAACTTGGCTGTCCAACACAGACATGGAGGAGTAACAGTTCAAAGAATAAAGCTCATGTTAGCGCTACAGTACATTAGTGCTGCCCGACACAACTTTCTGCATTGGTGGGAGCGTTCTCTGCTGCACTGTCCAATCCAGAAGGCACGTGCCACATGTGGCTACTGAGCATTTGACAGGTGGTCAGAGTGCAACTGAGGAAATCAGTTGTTGATTTTATTTTATTTAACTTTAATTAACTCTGAATTTTACTAGCTTCACTTGGCTAGTGGCTACATATTAGGATACTGCACATTTTTAAGAACACCTGTGTGTTTAAGTCTCATTTCTCTGAGAATGGACCGAGAGATGGAAACCACAGACTGCAAGCACCAACCTAGTACTGGCTGAACAAGGTTCCAAGGGTCCTTAAATTAAGGGCACATGCATAGGTGAAAAGCCTTGCAAAGATCCAAAGAACACACAGAAATGGTTCTTAGTATTGAAAAAGTTGTTGGGGACAATCCTTTCTTTCATTAGGTAAATAGATCAAATTAAGCAATTTGTTAGAGCCCTCTAAAACAAAACCTTACTATGTATTTTTCCTTCTTACGTAACTATGTTTATTATGCTCAGCACATTTTGTGCTTGGTAAACTATTATTATGAGCCATGGGACCAAAATAAAGTTGGGGGTGAAGAGAGTTACCAATGAATTTCTTCTGGTTATAGGCTAGAGAGCAAAGTTTCCTCACAGCATGTTCTATAAGATGTTAAAAGGTACCAAATATCTTTGGGAAATTACTACTTTTTAACAAATATAAACAGGTTTTTTATTATAATAATTCTCAGAACTTTTATTGTATGGCCCTCTACCAGGGGAGGTTCCCACACATATGTAAAATCCCTTTTTAAGGAACAGCCTGTATTCTGTGGAGCAAACTTTAGGAAAAGATGGGTTACAATGCCATCTTCAGGACAGGGGTAATAATGAAGGCAGCTGACATTCTGCACACCTGAATGTTCTATATCAGTCAGATTAAGAATTTGGGGATTTTATAAAAGGCAATAGTTTTAAACACATGAAAATCACATGAACCATTATTATTACCAGTGCTGTAAGACCTGTTTCTGAAGAGAAGAAGGAGCCAATTTCGCTGCCTCTATCTTTTGGATGTCGCTTAGGGAAGTCAAGTTTGTGCCTCAAAGCTTAGCCAGTTCAAAGAATGGTAACATGTAACCTCACGCTTGCCTGTCATGAAATAAAGTCTTTCCAGCCAGGAAGCAAATCAGGGTGAATGGCAAAATTATTAGGTCAAGGAGCTAAAACTTCTCTACTTCAGTTTAAAACAACAACAACTTCAAAATCTATTCAGTTTAAAGATAGTGCTTTGGACTGAATTATGTCTTTCCAAAATGTTGATGTCCTAACCCCAAGTACTGCATAGTGTGTCTGCATTTGGACATAGAATCTTTTTTTTTTTTGTCCTTTTTGAGACCAGCTGCACCGCGCTCAGCCAGTGAGCGCACCAGTCATCCCTATATAGGATTTGAACCCGCGGTAGGAGCGCTGCTGCGCTCCCAGTGCTGCACTCTCCTGAGTGCGCCACGGGCTCGGCCCGACATAGAATCTTTAATAGAGATAATTAAGGTAAAATGAAGTCATATGGGTGGGCCCTAATCAAATATGACTGGTGTCCTTATAAGAAGAGAAGATGAGGACAGACACAGAGGGAAGACCATGTGAAGACACAGGGAGAAGACGACCACCCGTAAGTGAAGGACAGAGAAACCAATCCTGCTGACACCCTGATCTTGGACTTTCAGCCTCCAGAACTGAGAGACAATAAAAGTCTGTTGTTTAAGCCACCCAGTCTGTATACTTTGTTATGGCAGCCCAAGCAAAATAGAGATGACTAGTATAATAATCTTAAACTCAAATTTTACATGCAGTTTTAAATACACTGGTTCCTTCTTGTATAAAACTGCAATAAGATATCTTATTAAAACTGCTCAAACTGCGTTTTCTAATGAGGTAATTTGCTAGTTTGATTTTATAAGGCTAGTCTTCAAATTATACCTCAAACTGACCCTCAAAAATGTCAAATTTCACATTTCTCACACTAATAGATTGTTTTAAGTTATTTACTAGGGAGTCAGGAAGCTTTAAAACTAACCCACCATAAAAGGATGTCTGGGTCATTTAATATTTTATGGCCTATCACAGAAATTTCTAAGTTCAGATATACTTTTATTCAGATATACTTTTATCAGGCTTTAAAATATGCATATAAAAGTACCACCAAATCCATTTTAACAAATAGATGAATTAAAAGACTTTCATTATAAATGTACACTGGACCTTTGCAAAGCTGACATGGACTACTGTACAACAAATAGGTAATTACACAAAATACAAAATAACTAAATATCCTGCACCTTAAGTGAGGAAGATGTAGATGGAAGTTTTTCTTCAATGTTTGGAGTTAACAAAAACACATTTCATCTTTAGGTTTTATTTTTCCTAATACAGCTAATACATTTTCCACTTTTAAAACTATTTGCTTACTAAATACAGAAAACTGTCCAGACAGGTTACCTCTCAAATTTCTAAAAGCAATGAAAATAATATAGTTTTGATCATTTCAAACAAGGTATAAAACTGGCAGAATTTAAGCTCCAGATTATAACCAGTATGGTTGCTGGACAGAGGTTTCTCTTTGCTCTAAAACAAGTGTCATTTCAGCATCCACCTAGGCATAGAAATAGAGAAAGTAGCCCTGATCTTAAGAATGGGAGTGTACCCCAACAACTGTAACCAGCCCAGAGCCGCTGCAGGAAGTGCCCCAGGCTATCCCACGCGGGGTGGTGGGAGGCCTTGGCCTTGGCCTCAGCCACACACCCCCGACACACACAACCAGCCCAGCGAAGACTATCAAGCTGCCACAAGAAGGCTCTCAAGCTGGGGTGGTGGGGGGCTAGGGCTTTAGCCACACCCCCGTAACATCTGCACCCAGCCCAGCAATGACCAAGCCACTGCTGGAAGCCCCCGGTCTCCCATGTGGGAATGAGGGGGGTGGCACAGGCCTCAACCCCACCCCTCCTCCTTCCATCCCATTTCCTTCCCCTTTCCCCTCTCCCCTTCCCTCCCAACTGCTTCACAACATCATAGAATGTAAAAAAAAAAAAGTTAACAAATTAAAAAAAAAAAGAATGGGAGTTTATAGGAATTGAGGGTAATGACCAGAAACTAGTTCATTTGCCCAACAAGGGATCCAGGCTAGCTAGGGAAATGAGGCCAAAGGAGTCTACTGCACAAAGGGAAAAAGAAAGCCCAAAGAGCCAGAACATGTGCAGCGGGAACTAAGGGCAGCAGGGTCTTCAAAACATGTAGAGGGGCAGCGAGGTCCATGATGCAGGTACAGGCACAGGCTACGAAAGCCCTGTCGAGGAAAAGGTGACAGAACTGAGAAGGCTCAGCTGCTAGGTGAGCTTCTGTGCCACTAAAATCTCCAGATATTAGGGAAGGCTTCCGTCAAGGACATGTCTTGGTTTTATGGAAGACATACATAAAACTATATATTTTCCTAGGGTAAACAGAGATTGATGAAGAGAGAAAGTTCTGGAAAGTCACTCCAAAATTATAAAAGTGGTGAGCATTGGGGAAGGCAAAGCCACTGAGGAGTGGAAATATCAAATGGGATTTTAGCTTTAATTATATGCTTGAACTTAAAAGAACATATTCATATTATCACTTGTAAATTAAAAACAAGTACCATTAAAAACAAAAACTAAAATTGTGCATGACACTAGAATACAGAATACAGACGGTAAGTCCTAAATGAAATGCTGAGAAGGATCTGTGGACCAACAACAAGAGAAAAAGGCAGGCTGGCCAGTAACTGCAGGGATGCTACAAATGTATTAATAATGTATTTTTATTTTCTGTGACTTACGATGTTTTGACAACTTAAAAATCTTGCTTGTTGGGGAGAGACTGCCCTCCAAGGCTAGCTAATTCCGAAAGGAAGTAAACCACCTACTTGGAAGCATGCCTCTCATATGCAAGCCAACCACCCCTAACCACCTCCTTATCAAACTCTTCCAAACCAAGCTAATACCTTCCCTTCCTTAAATCATCCCAGGGCCAAGTACCAGGCACCTAGAGACCACCCCTATAGCACAAAGCCTGCCAAAAATAAACTAGCCAATTCTAAATTTTTAAAATAATAATCCCCTGCCCTGCCTTGCCTTTCCCATGGGAACCTCAAGAAAGTCTCTGGCCCAGGCTTTCTGCCGCTCCTCTGGCTTCTGCCTCCTGACTATCCTGGCACTTCCACAGTGGCCTGCATGGCGTGGTGAGCCCCTTCCTCTCAGGAAATGGAATTAATGAATTCTTCTTTCAATGGTATTAGTAGCCTCTCTGTGTTGTCACTCAGTCACCTTTATAAATCCCATGCATACAAAGACAGGGAACTTCAGAGAAAGAAGGGTATGTGGCATATGAGTAACGGAGACAAAACTGGTTCTGCTTTATAAAGAGTGGCAAGAAAAAGGGTATCCTGGCAGAAGGTACTGAGTAGGTTCAGAAAGGAAGAGGTGACTTAGGAAAGCATATGTGTAACAGCAAGAGCTCCTGGCACAGCTGCAAGAGTCAACAGAAGAAGGATAAGTGTGGGAGCGGCCAAGGAAACAAAGGGCAAGGTATAAAGACAGAATGAGGTAGACATGGGGAGAAACCGGACAGTCACTGAGAGCACCGGTCAGTGGTGGCGACTTCTAGAATTGAGAGTGTAAAGACAGGAATGGTGGCTGCGCATTCCAGGCAGCTGAATAGTGACAAGACTCACATGCGGCATTTCACTCCAAACTGCACACCACCACCTGCTTTAAATACAGCTTCTGTTCACTTTTGAAAAATAAATATTGTTTACAAATATTGAATTCAACTCTCATTTTTGAAGAACAAATAAATATTCCAACGTTAGTGCAAAGATATTTTCAACCATTAATTGGCATTTCCCACACTTTTATTTCATGTATCACTAATTGCAGGCAATGTTAAACACTGTTTTAGAAGAGGTCTACCTATGCAATAAGTAGTAAGCTAAAGAAACAAAAACTCCTTAAAATTACATGATATTCTAGGATCCTAAAGCAACTCTTTTGAGTAAAATGAATAGTACCATATAAGTTAGATACTAACCAATTCCCACAGAGGCAGCACATTTAGTCTGGTCTTTGATTTCCATACGGACAGCATTTGCAAATTCATCAGGAGTTAGTCTGGTCTCTGCAAGGATTTCGGTGATGTCTACCAGTGCTTCATCACAACTGACAGCTTCGATGTTATGCGTGTAGCTATCAACACAAAGCAAAGGCAATGAATTATAGCCATGGCGAACATCTCGTAGACACGAGCGTTGCAAAATACAGTCTTCCTATGGTACCTTTCTTCAATATTTCCTTAACAAGGCTTAAAATACTAAAAAAAATTATAATTTTAGATAAACTGACCAAAGTGCCATTATTTAGTCACCTAACTTTTAGCTCCAAACTTAATTAGTATGTTCTCATTTTCCATATTAACTACGAAAAATAGAAGATATCATTCCAGTTTCTCTATGCTAAGAATACCTCTCTAAACCTTTGAATAGTTGAAAAGTGGTGGATGAATTAGAACTGTTAAAAAATTTAATCTAAAAAATTTTCAAACATGGTTTACAAGAGTCCTTAAGGAACAGAAAAATTACATTAATCAGTCAAATAAGTCATTGCTGCTCTCCTAAAACAAAAGTACCAATCAAAAATCATTCACTGTAGCAGGCCTAAGATGCACTAAGATAAAGTAGCTAATCACCCCAAACCGCCTGCCTAAGAGAATCCCATCTACATTTCTTGCATGTTGAAATACTTTTTTTTTTGTATCCACATAAAGGACTTGTTTTAATTAGCTAGAGTAAGGAAAAGAAGACGAGTTGTTATAAGGCTCCAATGCCAATTAAATATAAGGACTACAAAACCACAACACAGAACTGGGCCAGAAATGGGAGGCAACCAAAGAGGCTTCAGGATCAAAAGCAAGTCTTCCACAACCTACTTGGTAATTAATATATGCTAACAGGGCCAGGCCTCACCTCTCACCTACACCTTAATGTAGGTTACAAACCAGATTAATATCTCTAATCATTCAAGAAATGAGTATCTTTTGTTTAGGCTTAAATAATGAAATTTATAGTAACAGAAGGGCATACCCAATATGAGGACCTTTACTTCAGGGTGTAAGTCGCCCCGAGGCAGGGAGAATACGAAGCTGAGACATGATTTCCAAAGGGTGGTAGGAGAATAACACTGCTAATTTTTCCCCTGAGCATAGAAAAGTGCCACTGAAAATGTCTCCACAGGCTAACATTGTATCAGGACCACTATGTGTCGCAGCTCTCCCTCAAATCCTCTTGATCTGAGGTTCAGGCTGGTGGTCTGTTCCAGGGTCTCGATACCCACAATACAGCAGGACCACTGCTGAGCTAAGCCACCCATTCCTAGCCCTCATTTGGATGCTACCACTGACCTCATCTTTGAAACAGGAGTTAAAGCACTTTCCACTTGGTAATAACAGCATTGCTCTATTCAGGATATTAAGGACAACTGTAATTATAACTGGCTTACCATTCAGCACTCAATCCTACACACTGATGCCAGATAACTTAATCTGTCCTTTTATATTTTCTCTCCCCTACTCAAGTAAGCTCCCGCAAGGCAGGGATTGGATATTATTCCTCTGTGAGATTAGCACCATCTAGGAGTCCTTTGTACCTAATGGATACTGGTGTTCAAATAAAGCGTTAAGAAAGAAGAGGTAGAGATGAAGATAGTGGCAAGAAGTGTACCTCCTGGCCCAACGTCCAGATGTCTGTTTTGATAAGCTTTTAATGGAACACAGCCATGCCCATTTACTTACATTGTTTGTGGCTGCTTTCAATTTACAAAGTAGAGTTGAATAGTTGTGACAGAGACCTTAGCTGCTCTTTACAAAGAAATTATGTTGACCCCTGCTTTAAAGCACACACACCTTCATATACTTTTTAAAATTCTGAGTTTTGAGTTAGCATTAAATGTACCTACACTATAAATATTTTTAAAATTAATCTTTTCTCAAGCCAATTGATCAACAATTTTGAAACTATTACTAAAGACTGACTTTTGATATATCTAATGATTTTAAGAAGACAAAGGCGTTTTAAGTGTCTCTTTTTATTACCACACTATCAGTTCTAACTTTGAGTAAAATTATAATGAAACGTAATAAAAGAGAATAACCAGGTTAAAAAATTCCAATCCAGGGCCGGCCCGGTGGCGCACTGCTACAGTGCGCCACTTGGGAGCGTGGTGGCGCTCCCGCCGAGGGTTCGGATCCCACGTACAGACCGGCCGCTCGCTGGCTGAGCGAGGTGCGGGCGCAACACCGAGGGTTGCGATCCACCACCACAGAGCAGGAATATGCTGTCCAAAAGAGGTTTTCTTCCCCTAATACATGGCACAGTTTGGCCAGGTTTCATCCCCCAAAGACAAAGAATATAAACAAAAGAACTACACAAAACGGTGCTATGTGACAAACAGACAAAATGTACTCATCCTATTACCACCCAATTCCCAATTGACCAATTCCATGCTCCTGAAGTGGCTCCACAGTGGTTGAGATGCCAACAGCATTGTATATGGTAGGACATCACTCTGGGCAGGAGCCAGGGTTCCAGAACTTTGAGGAACCTAATTGAAAATGGTAAATTTTAAATCTACTGCATGTCTCAATGCCCCACATTATCTTTGATATTTGGGGCATTCAGCAAAAAACTATACTTAGGGAATTATATATAATTAATAAAATTCCATTTTATCACTCTGTAAAGAATCAAGAAAATATAGTAAAAACACAGACAAAATAATAAAGCACTGTTTCACCAGATTATATAATATTATTACATAATATGACAATAGTTATTCTATACATTCATTAATAAATATTACTAAATTCTTACTTAGTACGGAGGTGTGCCCTGTTTTAAGAAACGTAGGTATAATAGTCTTCAATTACTCAGAGGCCTCTGGCACCCCTCCCAACATTCAGACCACCATTGACAGCCAAGAAGGAAGAGTCCTCCAAGTTACTCAGGGGTAAAGGTAAAATCACATGCATTTTTTATGTACACAAAAACAGTAATAAATTGCCTCATTGCCAAGTCCCTAGTCGATGAAAAATATCTAACAGGAAGGAAAAAAAATAGTAAAGTAAGTGATGACTGACAAACAGAATGGTAAAAACAAGACAAAACAATTCTTTTATTCATTCAACAAATACTTATATCTCAGGCATTTTGTCAGGTGGTGGGCATAAGATGGTAAACAAAACAGACCTCGTGATGTTCATGAGAATGACCCTGTGTCATTTAGAATAGGATGATATATAGTCAACAAGCTTTATTTACTAATGCACGGAAGTATATGAAGGTATTTCAAAAAGTTCATGGAAAGGGCTGGCCCGGTGGCGCACTGGAGAGTGCGCTGCTTGGGAGTGCTCCCGCCGAGGGTTCAGATCCCATGTGGAGACTGGTTCCCGCTCATTGGCTGAGCGCGGGGCGGGCGCAACACTGAGGGTTGCGATCCCGTTGCCGGTCCCCGGTACGGGCGCGACACCGAGGGTTGCGATCCCGTTACCGGTCAGTAAAAAAATACAAAAAGGAAAAAAAAAAGTTCATGGAAAGATTCCATTACCTTTTAATTCTATTTTTCCATGAACTTTCTGAAGTACCCTTGTATATATAATAGTTTGATTGTTTATATATATATATACACACACACACACACACACACACACACACACACACACACACACACATATACACATATAAATAGTTCAGAAAATTTCTGAACATATAAATAGTTCAGAACATTTATCAGAAATGATTATAGCAGGAAAAAGGTCTAGCATAGAAAAGGGTAAACTTCAGGTAATAAAAATGCTAGATACACAGGTTCAGTGTATAAAAGCTAAACTTACAAATTAAAGGTAATTATTCATTTTTAAAGGAATGTTATATATATAATTCCTATATCATGTTCTTATATTTTTAATAATTTCATTTTCAAATTTTTCATTTATATAAAAAGTTTCAGAGCCACATTACTTAGAAAAAAACAGTACACCCTACTTATGTACTTATGCACATTTCCCAGAGAGAAACGTTTAAGAGCCATGTGACACTATAAGGAAATTACAAACAAAATAGGAAAACCTAAGAGGATTTCTATAACTAAGGAAAGCCTAATACCTTGAGTTTATGGTTGGGAAATTAGAACTGTTTCACAGAAAATTAATTAGTACAGATAATTACTAAAGTTTGAAGTGATTCTTTGCTACCATGACTAATCTATTTCTACCAACTAAAATCCCATGCAGGATAAATTACCAATACTTCGTTAAGTGTATACTGCAAAAATAGTTTATTCCCAGGCTTAAAGTGCATAGAGCACACTCTTTCTTGCAATACACTTTGCTCAGACAATTGTATCTGATGTTGGATTAGACGATATAGAAAAAATTAACCATCAAACCACTGTCACTGCCCATTCAACAGCACACTCTTTCTTGCAATACACTTTGCTCAGACAATTGTATCTAATGTTGGATTAGACGATATAGAAAAAATTAACCATCAAACCACTGTCACTGCCCATTCAACATACTAAAAGACATCTATCTCACTGATAAGTAAGAACAGTAAAGGGTCCTTACAAAAGCATGTGAACATAGAGGTTTAAAAATTATTCGATCTTAAAAACCTGTGATGCTAGGGTATTTGTAAATCATTACCTATGCATCCACATATTATGTACAAAGCTTGTTCTTTATGAGTATGGGTAAAACTACTAATGGTAATGCATACTGTGACCTACACATACACAGACTTCTTCTGTATGATTTCCACCATCCCATATTCACATTCTATCCTTTGTTGATCCCATCATTAATGTCTTTTGAAAACTCGCCAATGAAAAAACTAGGCAATCCATCACTATAATCTAGTACCCATTCCAATTTCAGAAACATTTCTCTAATGCAATTATTAATTATACTTGTTTTAAAAAATCTTACATAGGGAAAATATACCTGTTGGACAGCCACAAAAAAGCATATACAGAAATTTTCTAGATACTTTCATTAGGAATAGCTTTCTAGAAAATGAAAAATTACAAAAGGACAAAAACTCCATAGCTGTAGGCTTTTTTTTTTTTCAACTCACACTCTAACACCTTTCGTCACTTTACACATCTCCTTAAAATGAATATTTGCCATTTAAGTGGCACTTAAATGGCTTGCTATGTAGTATTTGACCCTCATATATTGTCACCCCAATTATTCTGTAAGAAGCTCAGTTTGACAGTCACCACATGTGGGTCGATAGCACCATCCAAACACCAGAAGAAGCCTAGAGCCTAGACACAACTGTGGCGCCTGGAGTCCAAAGCCATCAGGAGCTTCTACCCTTGAGGCAGCCTGGGTACTCACCATACAGTATTCATTTTGGGGGAACTGGGCATGAAGGGAGACCCTGTAGAGGTTGCCTGGCAAGGGTGGAGCTCTCATTTCACCAATCAGCAAACACAAGGACTAACATTATTTCTGGGCTTCATCACAGCCTCCAGATACTTAGCACAACTGTCTATCCATCAGAAGTACAAGTCACCATTCAATAACTTACTAGGAGGGAAAAAAAACTATCCTACTGAGCACAACACTTCAGCTCTGAACTGCCTATGCTAATAAAAAGTAGTATAAACAATCCAAAATGCATTTGTATTTAACCTAATTTTCATTTATTAAAGTAAGTTCCATAGTAGTGTGGTGGTCTTGCAGAGGGAGGGAACATTGGTAGGGCTACAAAGCAAGGTTGGGGGGGGGTGGCGGATAACTGGGAGGGGACACGGGGTACAAAAGCAAATTTCTGATAACTTGTATCTCATGAATATTCATAATAAAAAATAAAAAATAAAAAAGTAAGTTTCAATTCCTTGGCCACATTATCACCTGACAATGAAAAAGATTAAAACATAATTCTGTTAATAAAAAAGGCACAGTCAGCCTGGGAGTAAGAGTTTGACATATCATAAATGGAAAACAATTTAAAATATTTTATAGTTTGAACACAATGCTTTTTTACTTAAATATCCTTTTAATAAAATAATTAGCAAGATTTCAAATAAATATTCTGGGTAGATGATGTTAAGCTCAAATATTTTTTGTTCAGATTGGACTTCCTTGAATAACCCCAACTTTGAATCAAAGACTGAAAAAATGTAACTGATTTAATTAAGATGGGTTCTTTTTGTAATTACAGTCAGCCCTCCATATCCACAGGTTAAGCATCTGCAGAAAATATTTTCAATCCACAGTTGGTTGAATCCATGGATGTGGAACTCACAGATGTGGAGAGCTGACCGGGGAAGGTGAGCATCTATAGATTTCGGTATCTGCAGGAAGTCCTGGAACCAATCCTCATGGATACCAAGGGGTGAATGAATGAATACTGTAACACTTGCTAACAATGTGTAAGTACTTTCTGTGTTATAAAGGTAAAAATGTCTGTGTTCAGTTACCAGGAAAGAAAAAAAACTAAAGACTTCTTTTTTTAATTAACACTCCTTCAACTTTTACAACTATTATAATTGATTATTTCAAAATGACCGACTCTATTGAAGTATGAGGAATACATATGTACATGTGTTTCTTTCTCATACTGAAATAGCCAATTATAATTAGGCTTTAAGGTTACTGTAAGATAAAGACCTGTATATAAAGTTGGTGCTAACCAGTTGACAACACTCTCACCAATTTTAAGTGAGGATATTATTAAGCATGCCCATGTGGAATTATTTACTTATAATTTAACAGGCAGTTGAGTTTTAACAAATTATTTTAAAAAAAACCCCAAAACACTGAATACCAGAAGTTCTACAAGGAATTTCGCAGCTGTAAAAAAGGAAGATTAGAGTAGGTAAATATTAAGGCCCTCTCTCATTCAAAAAAATGTAATTCTTTAGTTTCATGCTTCAAAAGACAATAAAAATGATAAAATGCTCAATTTCTTTTGGTTTCCACTGTAGGAACTACTGGTTCATCAGGGAATTTTTAAGTTACTTATTTAATGTTATCTAACCTATCTGTTGGGAGGAGGGGAGAGGGAGGTCCAATCGAGGGATTAAGACTAAAAACATTTCTTTCTATAACATGTCTGTAACATACTTAAATCAAAGGCCTGGCTAATGTGTCTGAATTGACTTCAAAAGATCATATGAAAGTGATTAGCCAAATTATTCATTAAGAATTACAACACACTTAACTGCTACATACCTGGCTTCATAACTACAAGATGCAATTTCGGCCTTTGACAACACAGAATCAATCCCATTTGTCTGTGCAGAATCTTGATTCTCCCACACTGATGAATCTGGTATATCTGCTTTAAAAATAATAAAGATTTAATGATTATATATGAAAAACTGATTTTCCTTAACTTTTACTCAAGAAATTTGTTTTCCATTCTTTTCATACACAAATGTTTATTAGATTCCAAATATACCTATCTCTGTTGGTATTACTTCCTTATTTAATAAAAGAAAACTCTCTATAACTTTAAAATGGTTTGCTTCGTTATGTTCTTCATCAGCAGTCAGATAAAAACTTATTATCATAATAAATTCAAAGTGTCCAGTTCTAATAATAGAGATTTTTTAAAATAGATAAAATATATCCTATAACACACAATCCCTTGAGGTGGACAAGGGTGAGAAGTGATCAGGGAGATGAACCCCCTCCTATTCCTTAAAAGGATCATAAAGATCTCTGTAATGGGAAAAAGTTAATGGAAAACATAAATTTTTCTGAATGCTCTCCACTGTTTCCTAAAAGAACTATCTGCAGAACTTAAAGCTAATTAACATGTTTACACATCAAATTCCTACCATTTGATCAAACAATAATTTAGTACATTGTATCCTAAATTTAAGCTTTTTCTTCTAAACACACATCAGGTCAAACAGCCACACAACATTATACCCCTTTTCAGATAATTCTATTTTTGGTTTAACAATGCATGTTCAATTAAAAACATTCAAGTGTGATCAGAATAGCAACTGCTTTACAGAACACAACTCTAGCCTAAATAGGACAGCTCATCAATATCTCTTAAATCCAAACCAGATCTACAACTTCACACAGGAGTACAAAAGCCACAATCTAGGGAGCCTCCTGGCTGCATGCCATCTTACCTCTTCTACCACCCTGAGCTTCACTAGGAACTGAGAAACAGCTTAAAACACAGACACAACTTCAAGGATTAAAACACAAAGTCTCTTGGAATACTACTACGAGGTTCCAAGAACAGTGTGTTGTAGAAAACACCACATTCTACAACCACCATCTCAGCCATACTTCTACTGTCATAAACAAAAATACGAGTAGTAAAACAAGACCAAAATATACCACTTCAGCTAATTCTAGACAAACCTATTTTGAGTACACTCTAACAATATATAACTAACAAAACCAGCATTTCTCTTCTATTTCAGAGACTTAAATTTCCATGAAAATTCAGCTAAGTTAATGCATTATCATTTGCCAGAAAAACATGGCAAAGCATCTGGCTTTGTGGGCTGAAACAACACCTCCTGGTTTGACCAGTAATCATCAACATCTTTTACCTAACTATGCAACCCACACAAGCATTTCTGGATTCCAGCACTCACATAAAGACAGCATAAATGCAAATCAAACTCTGAGGATCAGCACCTCAGTGGGGTCAAATCCTACTTGCATCAAAAATAAAAACAGTAGAGTATGTAATGTGAGCTTTAGTTCCTGATATAATGTGAATAACATATGCTACCCTATTACAAATTAAAGACAATGCAGAGCAGATTACCAGTGTTTCTGAAGGGTCTTAAAAGGCTAAATATAAATTTTATTAGTCCACTACAAAATCTGTAAGAGTTTCAGGACTGTCAGCATCACAGAGGGTGCTACTAGACCAATAGAGGGTCTAGTTCAACAGTGGGTGCTACTAGACCAAAAAAAGTGTTGAAGCCCGAACAGCCACAACCAGCTGCCCTTCAAAGATGTAACCATTGAGTTATGCCTTAAAAGTTGGGGAGTTATGTGACTTTTATATATGAAGGGCTAGTTAACCTAAGATACTTGTTTTGCAAATTACAGAAAACTCATGCTCGCAGGGAGAACAGTCTCTGTGGTCCATGCGCCCCCATGCCCTGGCCTGCGAGGCAGCACCATGGTGCTCCTCTTCTCTGGGCTGGCTGACCTGTTCCACAGTGCAGCAGAGTGCGTGGGTCCCTCCACGAGCGGAGTGAGTTGCTTCATGTGAGATTCGGGGAAATGCAGGGACACACTGTCCTCACTGGAGGGCAAAGTAGAGAACTGCTCATCAAAACTTGACAAACTAGACGGGCACATGGAGAATGTGGAGGAACGGTTGGAGAAATCAGAGGCCAGGACCCAAGTCTGTGAAAAAGAAATCGCTGAGAATAAATCTATGACTAATACGATTTTAAAAACTGTTGTTCTTTAGAATGAAAAGTGAAGTTGCTGAAGGGATAGAAAACATATGCATCCTGGGAATCCAGGAAGGGGTAAAAGGCCCCAACCATGAAATCTGGAGTATGAATGGTTCCAAACAATAAGATCATCAATGAGGGGTGTCACTAACTGAGTACTGCTTGGGAAACAGCTTCCAATGGAAGTCACAGATGGAGAAGATCCCCTAGGTAATTGAGTTTTCGTATATGAAACCTAAGAAGCTGAAGTTTCTTAAAAGGACTGAAGATGCTATTTACCCTAATTCTTCGCCTAGACATACAAGCCGAAACATTAAAACTTTTCTTTTTAAAGCTAGTGTACAGAACCCAAGGATTCTAAATCCTAAAATGATCCTCAATATTTTTATATTTAGTGCCATATCTAACAATGACCCAGAGAAAGAAAGATCAGAAAATAACAAGGAAATGGGAATAAAGGCATTGAAAAAACAAGTTCTGAACATAAGCTTAGTTGCAATCAAACTTTAAAATAAAGGACAATCTGTTCATTTTATATGTAGCAAATATTTTGGTTAGCTCCTAATGGGTCAAAAGGCTTAGGATATAAAAGTGAATGACATCAAGGTACAAGCAAGAGTATAAAACACGAAGTATTATGTTCACCTTTTCTAGTGAGAGGAAAATCTATTTTTGTCAGTTTTCAATGGCAAGTGAAATACAAATATTTCTCCTGATATTTACCTATGATTTACCACCCAGGTTTAGAGATGAAGGGGATATGAATTATAAAAGGTCATCAAAATGTTATGAAAATCTGGTGACTAAATTAATGAAGACAAATAACCAATGACAGTATTCTATTAACAAACCATTTATGGTCAGATTGTCTGTGATGAAAGGAAGGATAAAAGAGGACTAGCTCTCTGCTACTCCTAATGAACGCGTGTTTGCCAAGCTCAAAATTCTAGATGTAGACTGCTGAAATGAGGACACGCGCAACCAACTCAAGACTCTACCCACCAGAGAGACCCCGAGCACTGAATCACTGAGAGAAGCAAATGAGTAACACGTGTTTTGTCTTCTTTCAAAACTCATTCAGTTAAGTGCCCAATATGTGACAAGTACTGTGAGCTTCTTTAAGTTTATTTCTTGTTTTCTAGATCTTAACATTTCATCTTTTTAATAATACCACATATAAAATACAAAAAAAAGCCCAACCTACCACAAAACCACACTACCAATACTTAAGAAACCACCCACACCACAATACGACAAAATCTCAACAAGTTCAATAACAGCCACCCCAAGATCTACTCATGACACAAAATTCTACAATCTCAAAAATCTCTGAAAAGATTTAAAGACCAAGAAAAGCTTTAGAAAACTTGAAAAATATATGTACACACAAAGCATAAATATGTACTTCCAATTATTTTCTTTCATACTTACACCAAATAAACATGATCACAACCAACAAAAAGACTGTAATCACAAAAAAAGTCCTTAAAGATGTCCATTGGCTTTCTTTTTGCCTTAATTTCACTGGGGTCATTTCTAAAATAACCCCAAGGTTTTACAACCGACAACCCAGGGAACTGAAATAATTGGGATAAACCAAAACTTCATGCCTCACTCCACTATGTGTCTAATTTCTCACTACTTTCTGATTAGTATTTTTCTGAAAGATCAATTTTTTTAAAAAAAATTAGCTTTGCAAGACATCCATGAGGAAACTAATTAGTGTCAAAGATTTTAATTTCTAAGCAAACATTTCTCATGTAATTTACCTGGGGAAAAAATAATAGATACATGAAAATCTAAGTATTGATTAGCATAACTCATGATTTTTGTTTATTAGTATCCAGAATTTAAAAACCAAGAGTGGCAAGAAAAGTTGTTTCTCAAATGAAATAGGTTCAGTAAATAATATGGGGAATGATTACTGGTATTTACATTCTTATTCCAACAAATTAAAGTTTAACTATTTCTTATTCCACTTCATACAAATCTTGAGCAACACGAACTTTAGGGTCCTCAGTGTGATACACGGGCCAAATGACTAGTAGTTAACTCCCAAGCCTAGATAGAGGTCTCTACAAAATGATGTCCAAGATTTTCATCCCCAGTCTAAATTTATACAAAGCAAATTGATCACACCTTTTAAAACACTCTTCACTTTCTGTTCCAAAAAAATATCACCTTCCAATTCAAGAAAGCATAACTATAAACCAGTCAATTTGTATTATATTCAGATTTTACTTTAAGATATCATTGATATCCTTAAAATCCCTGAATGAAAAAGCTAATTATTGCAACTCTGCTTTAATTTCTCTAACAATACCAACAGCAAAATCCAGAAGTCGTCCACAGGAGCACCACGACTTCACAGAGAGCTCATTTGTACCTGCTTTGCCTTTCAGGGCTTTATTCTGGTAATACTGCCACTCCAGCTGGGGGTTAGTGCCAGGACGTAAAGGTGCCCTTCCTGTGCCTCTGTTACTTGTGACAGCTACTGGTTTTCCTGTGAGGAAAAGACTAAATTATTTTTATATCTAAGTACAGCAATGTTAACAACATGTAAAGGAAAATTTTGCAAAGAATTTTAAAAATGTGACATTTTTTCTTTAGCTTTATATTTAGCCTTTAATCCTTAAAGAAGCTAATACCAATAAAGTTTATCAATCACCACACAAATGACATCTAAGTTTCTCAGCACCTCCCAAACTAACTAAAAGGTTATCTATTTGTGACAATTTGATACAAAACCCAAACTAACTAAAAGATTATCTATTTGTGACAATTTGATAATTCAAACCCCAAACTAACTAAAAGGTTATCTATTTGTGACAATTTGATATAAAACCCAAACTAAAAGATTATCTATTTGTGACAATTTGATAATTCAAACCCCAAACTAACTAAAAGGTTATGTATTTGTGACAATTTGATACACTTATTCAATCTAAAAGCAACCCTGTCATTAAGCTTTCCATGGTTTTTGTTTGATTTCTTACAGTAAAAAACAGGTAACTCAGATCCTAGATTCAGGTTGGATGGGAAGGGAACGAAAAACTAAATATTTAGACTTTATATTTCTGGTATCAGAAAAGTAGAGCTAAAATCTATATTTATCTTTCAACTTTACAGCAAAAGAAACAAATTAAATATATATGCATAGGAATCACAATCTGACTGACCATATAATCAAACATGAATATATGGCCTTTCAGTTTTTACTCGTTATAAAATTACTTTCTTGTATCATTTCCTTTTGTGCATGTGTTGAGTTACAAGACAACTGTAACCTTGTAAAATGACAGCATGTATAATTCATATATATTTACTGAATGCATTCACTGTGAGGACCAAAAAAGAGAAAGAAAAACAACAGTGCATTAAAAATTTACTCATAGGTTAAAATCAATTCTTTCAACATTCTAAAAACTCATTTCAGAGTGGGAGCAGCAACTACTGTAACAAAAATAAAGCCCTGGTATTAACCCAGCAGCTTCTGTGTCATAATCAGTGATTCTTTATTTAAGGGAAGAACAGACTCTCAGAAGAAAATGCTAACAGTTATCTCTTTTAGACAGAGATAACTACTGAACAATCCAAAATAAATATTTTTTAAAGCACTGACCAGTTCACAAATACCTGCAATTTTGTTAAAACAAAAACTGCCCACAGTACTTAACATATTTTAGCAATATTGAATAACACAAAATTATTCTACAACTAAAAAGTTGGGATGTTCACCTGCACCAGGACAGTTATTTGCTCAAGAGAAATCATAGTGACCCAAGTCTCAAAGACATATGCTACAATAAAATTTCCATTCATTAACAAATAGTAAAAATACAGATAAAAATATAGAAAATGCTCAGTGCAGGTCCCCATCTATCTTAGCCTTAGATGACACCATCCTTTAGTGGAAGATGAATATTCTTCCCTGAAAACTTGATCTTTATAAGGAGAAAGAAAAGCTTTCTAATTTCCCTACACCTTTCTTGATAATGGAGTCCAACAAATTTGGAAGCAGGAACTGATTATGCCAAGGAAAATCAGGATAAATTTTTTTTTTTTGTCTTTTTCCGTGTCCGGCAACGGATCGCAACCCTCAGTGTTGCCCCCGCACCGGACCGGGGACCGGCCACGGGACC